AGCGTAGATTAAGGTTGAACTGTACTGTTACAATTAACCTATTAGGTATTGATATTAGTAGTTGCCGTTCAATGTAGATTAAAGGTTGAACTGTACTGTTACAATTAACCTATTAGGTATTGATATTAGTAGTTGCCGTTCAGCGTAGATTAAATATTGAACTGTACTGTTACAATTAACCTATTAGGTATTGATATTAGTAGTTGTCGTTCAACGTAGATTAAAGGTTGAACTGTACTGTTACAATTAACCTATTAGGTATTGATATTAGTAGTTGTCGTTCAACGTAGATTAAAGGTTGAACTGTACTGTTACAATTAACCTATTAGGTATTGATATTAGTAGTTGCCGTTCAGCGTAGATTAAATATTTAACTGTACTGTTACAATTAACCTATTAGGTATTGATATTAGTAGTTGCCGTTCAGCGTAGATTAAAGGTTGAACTGTACTGTTCATTGTTGTTTAAACAGGAGTTCTTCCATTTCGTAAGCCATTATATATGTAAACAGCTTTTCTCGTGAGAGTTCCTTGATGTATACAAGAAACCTCCATCAGTAAAATGTATTCTCTTGTTGCTAGACAATTTACAGGAAAAGTAGAACACTTTTAAAGATTACACCACCTGTGGCAGTTTCAAATTTTCCGAAAATTTTTTATTTTCCAAAAATATTCTTCCAGACTGACTTTTGTTAGGTGGGGAAAATAATGCCTTTAACTTGTACCGGTCCATTTGTTACTAATAATGTACTTGTTCTGACGTATATATTTTGTAACCGTGGACCAATATCCGAAATATCGGTTCCCAGTACCTTTCTGTTATTATATTCGGTAATTATTTCTTCACAATATGAAATACCCTCTTTTACTTCTTCAATATTCTCTTTTGTTGTTAATTCCTTTCAATTCATTGTTAATTATTATTTTTGCAGTTTCCTTGGTTCTTATGAATATTTTTTCTATTATACAGACTTGTATTTTCTTAATATTTCACTGGCTTTGAATATTAATTTAAATAATTATTACTTAATTTAACAGTTGTTTCATTCCTCCATATTAAGTTGTTTCTCAGTTTGAGTTCTTAGCTTGGCTAATTCTCTTTTTTTATTTTTTTTTCTTTATTGCTTTCTAAATCATGTGCTAGCTGTTACGCGCACGCTTCATTTCTAACAATTCCCCCACCACGGAACGTTTGTACGCGTTCTTTCGAAATAGCTCTTAAACGTGCTACCATTTGCTCAAGCGGTTGAACAAAGTCTAAACTTTCATAAGTGGAAGAATTATAACTGTGGCCCTCAATTCCCCATTTTGTAAGAGTAGTCAGATAAGTGGCGCTGATGGCTATGTCTGTACCTTAGGGATCTCTGATCTAGCTGTTTAGCCCAAGCACTCATAAAACAGTGTGCAGATAGACAATATTAGTATCTATCAATTGCATTGCAAGTTTCGTTTTCAGTGGGAAAAGTTTTGCATGCACGTAAAACGTCATTAAATAAAATATACCTCATCTGTTTGTTTGTTGAATTTCAGGCAAAGTTACACGAGGAACATCTGCATTAGCCATTCCTAATTTTCAAATGGTACACTAAGGAAGAGATCACCATTACTAACTCTTACGCTACTCTTTTACCATTATAAAGATCCTATGGCTGAAAGGGCAAACTGGTTTGGTGATGGTATTTGAACCCGCGAACTGTAGATTACGAGTACAGTATACTAACCATCAGACCATGTCAAGCTTATTCCTATCTGTTACTTAGCAAAAATAAATAATTGACCGATGCACCTAGTTACTGTAAACATCACAGTAACAACTATTGTATTATATCTCACTGCCACAAATACAAAGTTAAACAAATGATATATATATCTAAGTCAAATTCATAATATCTTAAGTAACTAAGTTGTAGGTCCTGATTCGACAATATTAAAAAAGCTACCAATCTTAGTTTCAGTCAGCTCTGTATTTTGAGAGAAACAAATACGTGGTTAAGTTTAATTCCATAAATGTTAAATGAGAACTTTTCATAGAAATACTTGCAGACTACAATATTTACTTAGTTCATCAAACGTCCGTCACTTGCAGCAAACTGATGAACAACGCCAGAAGAAACGGGAAAATGGTAGTGTGGCAAAAACCAGGATCACCTGGAAAAATAAAAAAAGATCAGTGTAAAGAGTGGTATTGAAGAAAGGGCATTTACTTTAGTAGATATAGTGTGGTTAAGTGATTTACTAGGAAACTACCTTAAGAACAATACAAATCTAAATTCATAGGATTGGTGTGTTTCTATCTATGTATAGATATGTATTACGTCTAACCTTCCAAATCTTTTCATTGTTTGTTTGTTTGTCGATAGCCGTGCCTAATTTTGAATGATAAGGTAGAGGGAAGGCAACCACCGCCAACTCTTGGGCTACTTTTTTACAAGATAATAGCAGAACGTACCGTCATATTATAACGACCTCACAGCTGAAAGGACGAGCATGTTCTTTGTGACGGGGATTCGAACCCGCGAACCGCAGTTTGCAAGTTGAGTGCCATAGCCACAAGGTCATGTCAGGCCATAAAGTTTTGAAATTAAATATGGTATATAGCGAATAAATACATATGTTTAATTACACTTATAAACGACTCTATATTAACATAAGTAACATAATATTACTTTACTGACGATTTTCACACCCTACGTCTTAGAAAGAAAAATTAAAAAGTTTAACAATGTAGCTGAAGTATCAACGAGTATCAACGACATTGAACTATGTTCAACTACATTGTTAAACGTAGCTCAATGTCACATTTCCTTCTTCAGTTTCCCGGTGGCTCAGCGGTCAATTTAAAAAGTCGCAACACTTACATCCGAGGTTCGATTCCTCGCGATGAACATAAACACAGATAACCTATTCTACAGCTTTGTGCCAAAATATATCACTACGTGCTTTCAAAACGAGTTGTGTGTGTTTTTTAATAACATGTAAATAATGGATATAAACACTGGTGATTAATTGTACGAAACTCCTATCGACATACAAGAGATATAGTGATCTTCTATGATTTAATACTGTCGTGTTTCACGAACGCAAGACGGTCTTAACATTTATGTATGTCCAAAAGAAAAATTGTTTAACGAATGCCTAGAGAAGAAATTATACCAACTGCCAAATTAGAGCTATATATATTTATTTATTTCCTCTGAATATAGACTCCAGATAGTAGACATTTTATTGTTGAACTTCAATCGATACAGCTCAAATAAATCACCCCTTTTCTAACAATACAGTAAATCTTAGAATTTATATTATTGTACAAACATTAAAATGGCATTCGATATCTGTTACATAAAAAAGATTAATTGTCCGTCTAAAAGTTATCCTGTGCTGATAAAAAACAGTAGAAATGAAAGATGAATACGACTGTGAATGGATGTATTATTTAATTAGTAGTTTGTTTCATGAAGCTAAGTTTCCTGACGATTATGCAGTTACTCACGAGAAAAACATTCATTGTGTTAATTTCTTGTTAAATAAATTTTACAGATAACATTTCTCGAGAACCTTTAATTTAATTGTGAATATGTCAAATATGAAGCGAGTCTCAGATGTCGCTGCCGTCATATCTGAGGCCAGATATATCAAGTAATCACTATAGATGACATATGTAAAGATAAATAAAAAAATTCGTGACTGTGTACGATACAGATGTGTGTATAAATATTTATAATAAACTCATTATTAACGCTACTACATAAAAAAATATGTTGTTGTTTTTAAATACTCACACCGATATATTTTAGTATTTAATTCAAAATGGTTAACATTAGTTTACATACGCACAAAAATATATTTAATTTCAATAATTTGTGATCATATAGGTTAGGCCTTCTGGGAATCGTCCTGTTTGTCTTGCTTGTATAACAGTAACTCGGTACAGTCGTGATAACTTTAAAATTCTGGGTTAAATTTCTGCAGCTTTGTACTTTAACAAGCAAACTAAACAAATTCTACAAGTTATTTTATTATTCACCATCACAACAACCTCGTTCTTTTAAAAAAGTTAAAGACCGAAAACATCGTTAGCAGCGAGAGCACCCAATTAATGACCTAGGACAGGGTGGTTATAGAAGCTTACTGTAGTTAAAACACTGCTAGCAGCGAGAGCACCCAATTAATGACCTAGGACAGGGTGGTCATAGAAGCTTACTGTAGTTAACACACTGCTAGCAGGGAGAGTGCCCAATTAATGACCTAGGACAGGGTGGGCATAGAAGTTTTCTATAGTTAAAACACTGCTAGCAGCGAGAGCACCCAATTAATGACCTAGGACAGGTTGGTCATAGAAGCTTTCTGTAGTTAAAACACTGCTAGCAGGGAGAGTGTCCAATTAAGACCTAGGACATGGTGGTCATAGAAGCTTTCTGTAGTTAAAACACTGCTAGCAGGGAGAGTGCCCAATTAATGACCTAGGACAGGGTGGTCATAGAAGCTTTCTATAGTTAAAACACTGCTAGCAGCGAGAGCACCCAATTAATGACCTAGGACAGGGTGGTCATAGAAGCTGTCTCTAGTTAAAACACTGCTAGCAGCGAGAGCACCCAATTAATGACCTAGGACAGTGTGGTCATAGAAGCTGTCACTAGTTAAAACACTGCTAGCAGCGAGAGCACCCAATTAATGACCTAGGACAGGGTGGTCATAGAAGCTTTCTGTAGTTAAAACACTGCTAGCAGCGAGAGTACCCAATTAATGACCTAGGACAGGGTGGTCATAGAAGCTTTCTGTAGTTAACAAATTAATTATGTTATTTTTTTTTTCCTTTTTGAAAACATGAAGTAAAATCATTTCAAATAATTACTGACAAAACTTCGAGTTTATTATGCATGTTATTTCCGTTAGGTGGTTAGGGCGCTTGACTCGCAATCTGAGGGTCGCGGGTTCGAATCCCCTTCCCACCAAACATACTCGCCGTTTCAGCCGTGGGGGCGTTATAATGTGACGGTCAATCCCACTATTCGTTAGTAAAAGAATAGCTCAAGAGTTGGCGGTGGGTGGTGATGACTAGCTGCCTTCCCTCTAGTCTTACACTGTTAAATTAGGAACGGTTAGTGCAGATGTTCCTCGTGTAGCTTTGAACGAAATTCAAAACAAACCAATCTAAAAACCAAATAATAAAATATTTTGTAATGGTTAACTGATATGTAGTCATATACATGGAACTGCATGTCTTACCAGGATAACAAGTACTATAGTTATACGTTGTTTTTTTACTATATATGTATGACTGAGTTTGTAATGGTTAACTGATATGTAGTCATATACATGGAACTGTATGTTTTACCAGGATAACAAGTACTATAGTTATTCGTTGTTTTTTACTATATACGTATGGCTGAGTTTGTAATGGTTAACTGATATGTAGTCATATACATGGAACTGCATGTTTTACCAGGATAACAAGTACTATAGTTATACGTTGTTGTTTTTTTACTATATATGTATGACTGAGTAATGTGTTTCTTTGTTTGTTGAATGTCATGAAAAGCAACGCAAGGGCTATCTGCATTAGCCATCCCTAAAAGCAGTTATTTAAACACTACCCAACTCCGGGACTACTCTTATCAGATCGAATAGTGGGATTTGACCGTTGCTCTTATAACGCACGAATGGCGGTAATGGGACACGAACAGTAGATCTTCAGATCCACAGTCCGGTAATTGTAATGTTTATATTACAAATTACATATCAATCTTAAACAACACATCCAACAGTGTGCTTTAATTTGTTTATTTCTGTTTATACAATCAACTGATATATTCAGTAGTTTTGGTCCTGTCTAAATACGCTTCAGAATGTGATAAACTGGCCGCCATCTCATCTTAGAATCAGAACAAATACACATTTTAATTTTTATAAAGGATCAAAAAGTTTGTCTGGATATCACTGAGAAATACGGAAGCGATTCACGAGACTAGCATGTTACAGAAAACGATATCTTTTACTTTTTAATTCTATAATTAGTTTTTGTAGAAAAGAAGCGACGACAAACGGTTAAACGTTCAAAGTATTAAAGCGTCATAAGAGCCAAGAATACAAGGACAACAATTACTTGTGAACTTGCTTCATTGTAAGAACTTGGGAGGTAAAGAAAAATGTAATAATATGTCAACCACACTGTATCTGCTAGATCCAGTACCGACGAGACCTTTCGTTCAATACCAGAACTCGTCAATTATACTATGAAATGTATCGTTGTATTAAAGCAATTTAAGAATTAGAAAAAAAACAGATGACATTCAATAAAATATGTGGTCGATTGTTTAAAGTAGCATCAAAATCAATACAAACTTATAATTTTGAGACATACGGGGGGGGAGCTAAATATTTTTGGTTTAAATTGCGGTAACCAGAAGACAAGGAATATAACTCGTATATCATATACATTTTCAAAAAAAGAATTATTTCAGTCTATTAATAGGTGGCTATCCATGAAAATAAATGATGTAGAATAGTTAGTTATCAATTGTCACTAAGATCCAGGGTTCGATCCCCAGCAATGGATACAGCATATAGCCCAATGTGGCTTTGTTTATAAAAAAACAACATAGAAACATTACATTAAAATCATTTCACCTTGATTTTAGAACACGGATAAGAAAATCATAAAAATTACCTGTACTTGCATTGTGCAGACCTGTATAAAAACAAACGGTCACTGTGAACTTAATATAACAGTTTAATGATATATGTACTATACAGTCGTAATTAGATATTCGGCGACAGATTTATAAATGTAATTATTAATATTTAACTTAAGTGGATCATTCGTAAACGAAAAACGTATATTCCACAATTTTTCCAGCACTCTTTATTATTTTGTCTACCAACTATGAATCAGTCAAACCTTCACAATTTACACACGTACTTTGAGTTGGTCTATCAGTCAAATTGTTTTTGTATAATGTTAAGTACTGAATCGACCTTTGATGATGAGAAACTCACTTTTATAAAATAACGGCGAACTTGACGAAACATTTGTTACTATGTAAAAACTTACTTTTCTTCATTACCTATTCACGCTTTATTCAAACTTTATTGAATCAACTTATATTCTGTGCAAGTTTCGTTGAGTATATATGTCTCATACATGCTTTTAATGGGTATTTACGTAATAATTAGTGTTGTTTATTACTCTAACAGTGGATATTTACGTAATAATTAGTGTTCTTCTTTACTCTAACAATGGATATTTACGTAATAATTAGTGTTCTTCTTTACTCTAACAATGGATATTTACGTAATAATTAGTGTTCTTCTTCACTCTAACAATGTTTATTTACGTAATAATTAGTATTCTTCTTTACTCTAACAATGGATATTTACGTAATAATTAGTGTTCTTCTTTACTCTAACAATGGATATTTACGTAATAATTAGTGTTGTTTTTACTCTAACAATGGGTATTTACGTAATAATTAGTGTTGTTTTTTACTCTAACAATGGGTATTTACGTAATAATTAGTGTTGTTTTTACTCTAACAATGGGTATTTACGTAATAATTAGTGTTGTTTTTACTCTAACAAGGGTATTAAAGTGAGCTTTGGGTTAAGTATTAGTAAT